AGAACGCGAATACATAGTTTTTCTATTATCCCCGTCTCCTCTTTGTGCGATGCTTCGTAGCATAGACGTGTGTATGTGTGTACGTGTGGGTTGAAGTTGACCGGTTGATGTTTTTGTTTGGAGAAGGTTACTAGGATACTTTTTGAAGTGAAAACTCCTTTAGAGAACACTAAACGACACTAAAAGGAAACAAACATATTCGCTTATATGGTTTAGCCTACGGGAAAAAAAGAGCACAAAAATATAATGTTTTTTTTATCTCCGTCTCCCCTTTGTGCAATTCGTAGCTTCCCCCTAAGCATAGACGTGTGTATGTGTGTACGTGTGGGTTGAAGTCGACCGGTTGTTGTTTTTGTTTGGAGAAGGTTACTAGGATACTTTTTGGAAACAAACATATTCGCTTATATGGTTTAGCCTACGGGAGAAAAAGAGCACACAAATATAATGTTTTCTATTATCTCCGTCCAGTGGCGGATTATGCTTCAGTGGGGCCCTAGGCGCAAATCAAGTTTGGGGCCCCTAAATCCGAAAATTTTCAAAAACGGTTATTAGCCCAGTAAAATTAATAGTTTTAGCGTACGGGCGCCGCAAAGTCTATTTCAACATTCGTTTGTGCCAAAAACTCATTTCCACACCACCATGAGGTAGAGTACGTGGCGCGTTTTTTATCGTGGTATCCCCAGTAGGCCTAATCCACACGCACTATTCCAAAATTTAATGGATTATCTTCCGATTCGCTCTTCGCAATGGACCAGGTGTTGTGCGTTAATTGTTTTCAGGACCGATCGAAATATCACAGGTAAAATTTTCTGCCATACTATCCGCGATGGGATTATCGTTTTCAATGCTATCTTGGTTCTCGAGTTCATCGTACGTGTGCTCAAAAACGGTAATCGTATTTAAATACAAATTACAAATTTACTTTTCTTGCCTTCTCTTGGGCAAAGATTTCAATAATTTTGTCGTACTCTAGTTTTTTAAAAATATCATTTTCTATGAACATTAATGCGAAGTCATTTAAGTGCTCTTGTGAAAGACTATTGCGCAGATAGTTTTTGACTCGTTTTAAAACTGAAAATGTCCTTTCTCCACTTGCATTAGAAACGGGCAAGGTCAAAAAAATTTGCAGTATTGTGTGTATATTTGGAAAAGTTGATTTTAGACCATTATTTAATGTTGCATACATTTCATGTGGATCTCTAATATTTTCTTCTTGTATGTATTTTAGAAAATGATTTAACTCATCAGTGAAATATTCTGGCTCAATATCTTTTTCATACTTAGACAATAATCGCTCTACACAATTATTAGTCTCAACACGGCTTAATTTTAAATCAAAGAAAATTTTAAAATCGTTAAGAACATTGATATAGACATCGCTCCTTCGAGTAATTTCTGATGTTAATACATCACATACAACATAAAAAATGTTGACAATAAAAATTTCTTGACGAAAATGCTGTATCATTTTTGTTCGTTTCATCATATGGATATTTGCGTTTTCTTTGTCTCATCTCTTTATAAGAATGATGAGCTGTTAGGGATTTAGCCTCCTCTTCAACAGTTTCGAAATTATTTCTGACCTCTGTTATAAATTCGTTTAATGATTTTAATAAACTAACACTATTAAGAATATTTGTCTTTGGTTCCTGTAAGTATTTGCTGGTAATTTCGATTCTCTGTAGGAGTTTGTTCCAGAAAATTGTTAACAGTGCCGTCTCAAATTGATCGAACTCTTTTGATAATTTTTTGCTTCTAATTTTGAAATTGGTTTTTCATTGGGATCTGTGGTTACCTTTATCAACGATTGGTAAATATCATGATAATTGAGTCTTAGGGCTAAAACAGCGTCAGCTCTTGCGGACCATCGTGTATCAATTATTCTCTTGATACTTTTAGAATTCTTATCCTTCATGCATTCAGTTAAAATATTCCACCGTCTTGTAGATGCAGCAAAGAAAGTATATATATTTTGCAAAAACATAAAATACTGTAATGCTCCAGAACAAGATTCCGCTGCAGTATTCCCCGCCAAATTTAAAGAATGACTTCCACATGGTATGAATTCAGCTGATTTGGAATGTTGTTTTATGCGTGCCTGTAATCCACTGTACTTACCAGGCATGTTAGCAGCGTTATCATAAGATTGGCCCCTACAGTTTGTGATATCTAAGCCATAATCATGTAACTTTCTAAGTACAATTTCTTCTAATGTTGAAGAATCATGTCCAAGAAGTTTAATAAATTCAAAAAATCTTTCTCTTACTATACCAGTTTTGTCCACATATCGCAGAACAAATGTTAGTTGGTCGACATGTGTAATATCAGGTGTAGAATCCACAATTATTGAGAAATAGATAGCTTCCTTTACTTCAGAAATAATACTATGAAGTACTTCATTAGACATCAAAGAAATAAATTCGTTACAAATTGTAGATGACAGGTAACTAACATGTCCTTTCCCAGGTTGTCCGTATCTATTTAGATGTTCCTTTAAAAATTATCGAATTCCGCCAAATAATCAATACATGATAAGAAATTCCCCCTTCTTTTTGATTCCGTATCTTCTCGATGTCCTCGGAATGCAATGCCCATACTAGCTAGAAATTTTACTGTTGCAATTATGCGCTTTAATATCTCGCGCCAATAAATGACTTGTGTATCCACTTTTTTAGCAAGTTCGGTATCTACACGTCCCACAATTGAAGATCTTCTTTTTAGACCAAGCATTGCACTGACGTGACTCTCAGAATGTTCGTGTTCTCTCAAAACTGTATTCACATTTTTCCAATCATCGAAACCAGTTGTAAGTTTTGACGATTTTGAAAATAATTTACATACATAACAGTAAATGCATTTGCTCGTGTCTGAAAACTTTAACCATTCTCTTATTTCTTTAGAACCATTAACTTTAGTGCAATAGAAATTAGCATTAGTAAAATTTCTAAAGTATTTTCTGTTTCTGTCAACAAATTCGGTTTTCAAATTTTCAATATTCCCAAAGTTCTGGGGAATGTTAACTATGAAATATTCTATCATACTTTCACTTATTTTTCTGGCCACAAAGCAATATCACTTGGAAATTTTGTGGTGTGATGTTCCTTTCTGTCGTCCACTGTATCACCCACGTCTAGGTTGTCTACCTGTTTTTTAATTTCAACATGATTTGCCGTGTTAATCTGCTCTGATGTGCTTTGGGGAGGATTATCCTGATTTAATGATGGTCGTATTAAATATGATGACAAGGAATTTTTTTGAAGATCATTTCTTTTTTCCTTTTGTACTTTCAGTTTTCGCTTTTCCGCGCCGGATAAATATGTTCGTTGCATTTTAAATTGCAAAATAATTACACAAATATTGCACAAATATGTTTTGTAAAAATTATAAGAAATAACAAATAATAATAAATAATAAATATAATAAGAAATATTAACGATGTACCTTTATAGAAGCTCTTGTTGATTATTGACTGAAGTTTTGAAAATCACCCACGCCAAATCATCTATGCACAAAACTTCGAGAAAAAACTTTTGTAGAACTAGTGTTGTCGGGGTTGTGATTCAAGACTCACTGACCACTCTCTGTTTTTTTTAATCCAACTACCACCCCAAAAATGTAGATAAAAATTGTAGGAGGATAAACGTTGGTACAACGTGTTCCGCAGATGTGAAAAAATGATAGAAAGACGAAATAATTAATATTCCAAAAAAGAGAGTTACCCGCTTTTTTACAACCTCAATGGAATATTCCTCAACTCATCTCCTCCACAGATGTTGGAAATTTAAAAAAATTGGCAATATACTACTCGCATTATAGCTACAACTTTCTAATGCAATATTCAAGAAAAGGTCACAAAAATTCGTGGCAGAAAACATCCAAATTTTATTTTAAACAGTTTGTCATAAAGAAATAAAATCGGAGATAAAAAGTTTTAAGTCAGCTATATATCCGTGACGGTTGCTTTGCAAACACGTGTGAAATGCCGTTTTGGGCGCCAAGTGAAAACCAATACGCTATTCATAAAGGCTGAGGTCAATACGAACTGATGAAGTATTTGTGGAATTACTATGTCTATATGGGACATATAAGTGCCAGGGGCCCCTCAGGCAGCGCGGCGGGGGCCCCCCAGGCAGCCGGGGCCCTAGGCGCGCGCCTAGTGCGCCTAGGCCGTAATCCGCCACTGTCTCCGTCTCCTCTTTATGCGATGCTTCATAGCTTCCCCCTAAGCATAGACGTGTGTGTGTGTTTGTACGAGTTGGAAGTTGCCCGATTGATGAGTTTGAATGGATAAGATTTTGTAAGTGTAGGATACTTTGTTTTAATACTTTTTGAAGTGAAAACTTCTTTGGAAGATACTAATCGAGTTTTCACCGTCTCTTCTTTGTGCAATGCTTCGTAGCTTCGCCACTCAACATGCAGCGACCAACACGATCAAATCTTATCCGACAAAACCGTAACGCTACTAGGATTCGAAGGATTTCGAATGAAAGGACTGAAGAAAAACAATAAATTGCACGTGAAAAGCGCCGTGTTAGTATGACTCGACTTCTCAATCACAAGAGCAAAGCGAGGCGGAACAAAGTTTGCCGGGTCAGCTAGTTTATACTAAAATAAGAGGCTCGTAAAAACGTTTTATTGCAACTTCACTAGAAAAAAATATAAATTTCAACTGAAAGTTTTCTGCTGAAAAGTATTATATCATTTGACCAAATTACGGGTAAACTATGAGTCCAACAGTAAAATTTTACTAAAATAAAATGATCAAGAGAACGGTTTATGGCAACATCCAAAAAAAAACTTAAAATTATCAAATTTTATTTTTCTGTGGAAAATGTGAGTTCACATTTGATCAAATTGTGGGGAAACTATGAATTCAAGAGTAAAATTTTACTAAAATAAAATACACAGGAGGACTTTCTAATTAACTAAAAGTTCTCTAATTGCAGGAAAACCGTAAAATCGAAAAATAGATACTATGAACGATGAAAAATTTCACTCACCAGTGTATCGAACACCGTAAATCAAATGCGAGTAGATACTGAAATAAACAAGAAATAAAACATTATTTATACAATTTCGGACAATGTTGATATGAATCCGAGTTCCGGAGGAACCCAAACTTTGCCTTAAAAATTGTCTTATTTGCCATAATTATTTAAATAATAATATTTACCAGATAGAACAGCCGCCCGTCGTGTTCAGCTGAAGACAAAACTGGTTCGCACAACTCCAAAATATTATTTACAATCACACAACATGGACGACTGGCGTCCGACGGCAACCGATCCCAGATACACGCGAAACTGTAATAAACTCACAAAACATTGAATTCCGAAGTACACCCGCGATAAATATTTAGCGACTAAAACCCGTCTATTAACACTAAATTCCAGCAAATATAACGCGAAAAAACGAATTTACAACACGAAAGACGAATATCCATTTAAGTATTAGTACTTATCGCACGAAGTAAGAGTTGCGTGCCGGCTACACAACAACTGGGCACGCCGACTTTCACTCGCAGGAATATTTTTAGCGAAAACATGCATTATTGCGCCATCTGAGGTTTCTTTTGAGTACCTCAAGAATATACAAAGTGTATCAAAAAGTGTGGTGTGCATATGAGGCAGTGAGTGATTGGCTATGTGTCAATGTATGGTCACGCACTTAAATGACAGTGTCCGTGTGTCACACGTACACGCAACTGCGCATGCACCACCCTATCTAAACGAATAGCAATTTTTACACATAACTCAAAGCTTCAAATGTAGATGCTGCTAGAATGTATTAATTCAAAATAAATGAATGCATTTTTTTTATTTTTGAAAAAAACTGACGAACCACTAATCAACCGGAAAACACACAAAATTTTATCAAAATTGGGCCAACCGTTTAGGAGAAATTCAATCATACACACCCGCACAGACAAGTTGTATATAAGATTTATTTCTTTACAGGTCAATTATGCTGTGCTCGTAAACTGACCCCAACCGCACATATCATATACAAACTGCAAAACTTTGCTATAATTGATATTCATGCCCCGGAGGATGCGACCTATACGTTGAACTTCAGGAAGTGCAAGAATATCTTCGACCATTAGGTGAGTGCTGTCTTCTGTAATTCTTACCCAGAAGTTTAACATATCAATGTTCGTGCCTATCTTATTGATAAAAAGATACGTTAGTTCACGTGCTGGAAATATTTTGTTGATTTCATCCATAAATTTTCGCATGCCACCAGTGGCTTGGTTATTGCCGGTACATACAGGTTTAACCATTTTGATATTAATATTTTGAAACGGCGCAATGAGGGGGGTCAAATCAATTCCAGCGTCTATAGTGTAAGCTTTCAATTCCTTCCAAGTGGGATGATCATATATAGTTCGTACAACCTCAGCCCATTTAGATCGATGCAAGTACAGCCAAACTCGTTGTACTTCGGGATCGGTTGCAATATATTTCTCAGCTATTTTTGTAATCTCTTCAAGTGGAATGAGATCAATAAAATCTTCTAATCCCCATTCGGAACTTCCGGAAACCAATGCAATAGGAAGCAAAATAGTCAAAATTCTAAACAGTTTCATCTTATATTATTTTCAAACGTAGTGTAAATATTTTACAGCCAAATCTATATTAATATTTTATTTCTGCTATATACTTTTGGTGTTCAGCAGTGTTCGAAACTGTTTTGAACTAGGAATTTCATTGCTTTTGTACGTGTTTTTTGTCAGATTACCATTATTGTACGATATGATATTATGTGGTAATATTCCTAGAATAAAATAAATAATATTAATATTTCGAAAAACAAGAACAAATTCTGAATAACGTTAAAAATATGGTAATTCGTACTGGTAAAGTTTCAAATTATCATGTGAATAATATTTGGACTTATTTATATTCATTTGAAAATAAATTGATATATCCTTATCAAATACTACTTGAATATGCTAGATTTTGTTGTTTTGAATGTATTTTGTTGTACAGAAACTTTTAAGTTGCAAAACTTTGCCAAAAAAAAGTCAAAGGAGTTATGAATTTCCACCTCATATAATATTACATTATATAGGTACATTTTATTTCAGGAGGGAGAACTATATTTTTTAACACTAGAGCATGTAAAAGTTTAACTATTTTTAAATATTGCAGCAAAAATCAAGACTGGCTAAACGAAAGTTTTACTCACGAGATTGATTAAGACTGAGCGTAGCGAGCCACTTCCCCATTCTGAAGCCACAGTATTGTTCTTCGTCTTGGAGAGCACTCCCACTTCTCTCAATTATAGCGCGTCCAAAGTTTTTCCATGGTTTTCCAAGGTTTTCCACTGAAAAATATCGCACACTAATACCGCAGTTTTTTTAACTTCCTTTTGTGTATATGTTGCATATTATTGCAAGCTGCCATTCTGGTATCCTTTCCTTCCTAGAACCAAAAGCACTAACAACTGCTTTGGGGCATGCTTTAGTAATTCTATATGAATGTGTCCTGCCGCTTGGATGTTCGCCATATTATGTTAGACTTGACGTACTTCAACGAATAATTCCGAAAGCTATCTGTTGCCTCGGTATATGATGGCCTGGTTAAAATATATTGCAATTATAATGAAAAAGACAAAATATCATAAGAGTTACTTTTAAACTTATTAGTGAAACATCAACGAAAAAAGCATAAAGACTCACCGTGAGCATATCTTATGTTAATGTAGAGGTCATCAAATAATTATAGTTACATTCGGAATGTAAAGAACCTATTAATGTCAATGTAGATCAGAGAGAAATTTTCGGTCCAGTCAGGGTACTTGCTGTAATTGATAAATAACAGCTTTCCAGCTTCTCCACGTCGATTGACTCAATTCCTTAGTCTCCCAATTCCTTATGTAAGTATCAAAGACAATAATAGCCTATCAAAAAATAATAAATCATGGCTTAATAACAAATTTCGAAACTAGTACCCAACAATAAAATGGTTTTAAGAATATTTCACGGACCTTTCTCGAAACATTATCATCAACAGGTCTTAAATCATCAGCTGGTGTTCTAGATTGCATAATTGTTCACTTTCTCGATAAATATTATGGTACTGTAAACAATTTTTAACTGTTTCGTGCTATAAAGCGGCTACATAAGAAATTTTCTCAGATAAAACTTTTTCTTTAATTTCAGCACAATGGTTTTTTAACTGTAATAATTGTCGTTTTAAATTTTTATTCTAAAAAAGAAATGTTCAAAAATTTTGAGAAAACAAATACAAACAATTTGAAACGATCACGCCAACGTGCAACGTTGAAGATGAAAAATATTAATCGAATTAATGAAAAAGAAATTATAAAAATTTCTTATTTTTCAGGAATTGTCGTACATAAAGTTATAAACTTCAAGCACATTCATAAACATATTACGCGTTTTCAACTTAACAGTGCTCATTAGCAATTAATACTTTTTAATTGCGTGATGTTATTTAAGAATTAAATAAAAACAAAACTTTACCGTTTGAACAACGCGATTGAGCTTTCTACGTTGTAATTTATAACGATGTTTTAAATTCATCCTTCGAGCTTCATCATTTGTTGTCTTCGTCTTACGTTTTTGTAGCAAACGTCTCAATTTTCGACAATTAATACATCGGTACTCCAAAACTATTCGTTTATATCTATCCCCCGGCAATAATATACCCGTACAGGTGTCTGAACATCTATAAAAATAAAAAAAATATATAAAAATTGCATTACATTTTAAAAACGGTCATTAAAATTTTAATTATTAGCTGTGTTATTATAAATTAATGTGTCTCTTCTAAATTCATACTTTTTGTCATCGTATCCAGTTCCACTACAGAAAAAGCAATTTTCCAAAGAGTCTAATAATTGCCAAACACAAGCAAATGATGAGATATTTACATCCATATCAATAACAATATTAGTTTTTGCATTAATAATCTATAATAGAAGACAAATGTTAATGCTATTTAAATAATTGAATTCCAATGGTTTTCATTTGAAGCTTCTTACCATCACTTTTAAATTCACATCAATTTTAACATGACAAACTAATTCCAATTTTGAACTTATATATGACAACGAAATAAAAGAATTTATTATGACTGTCCAACACCAATTTTTACGCAGTGGCTGAGCTTCTAACATATTTTGGATTGAACGAAAAGAAAATTCCTCTGTTGAATTCACGACCAGTAAATTGTCATCTTCAATAACAGTACTTGCAACGTCCGGAAAATTTGTATTTGCATCTGTCTCCACTGGATTATGATTGCAGTCATCATTTATTGAGTGGTCAACCATATCTATATCTGCTATACTTTCATCACTATCACTAATAATATTAGACTTGGGTGCAGCTTCCTTCCTTAAATGAACTTTCTGAAATTCGTGTACATATACACTACCATCTTTCAGAATCGTTTGATCAGATCTAATCACATCCTTTGAATTAAAATGTAATTCACAAATATAGCTGGTGGCTTTCAATTTTTGGCCAAGAGCAGAACTCCATTTACTGCACAATTCTACATCCTTAAAAAATATATTTATATATTTCACAAGATATTTGAAAATATGATATTTTTTAAGTATTAAAAGTTATAAATTAATCGTTTATAACACAAATTTTTCATATATTATTTTGAGGTTACTCACTTTTGGTGCTTTAAATAAAGCTACTTTTTCTACCTTTTTACTTGTCTTTCGGCCACTAAAACATCCATGAACCGCACAACACCTTCCCATTTTTTATCACAATTAATTTTCAGTAAATAAATTAATTTAAAAAAGCGATATTATCACGTTTCAATTCAAATAAATATGTACATACATACATATAAAAATTAACAATATTGATTATGTATTCGTCAAAGAAAATAAAATAAATATATTAGTGTTTCTAAATTTAATTGAATTCAATTTAATATTCACAAACCAGCACGTGTTCACGTGTAATAATAATAATGACATCGGTTCGATCTGAAACGTTGCGCAGCCAGTGGCAGAAAAGAGAACTGGGTTGCGTATTCTGGGTTGCATATGATGAACCTTTAGTATCCCATATATTATAGAGTAACTTTGAAATAAAACTTCGTCTAAAAATTAAGATTTTTATTTTCATTTTGTTTAGGTAATCATATTATAATATTTATTTCGAACTATTTGAAAATGTCAATTTGGCAAAACATGTCAATAATAAAATTATATCGTATCACAACGCGGATTCAATATGGAAATAAGTAAATTAAATTTTTACATGAATTGCAGACAGATTTGGGTAACAATAGATATAAGTGCAATCTTATCAGAACAAACAATATTCTCTTATAGGCACAATAAATTGTCTTTTTTACTTGCATTACTGACAAGACTGATTTATGTATAATAATTATTTTCAATTCTCTGAGAAAATCTGATTATGGTTGATATAATTGAGCGTCATCATCAAATTCATAAGGAAGCCTGCGTCGATGTGGAAGACCAGACCGGTCAATGAAGGCTATCTGACAGTAGTTATAGGTTGGCGTTTAACCATCACTACGACCTGCAACATCAGAAGAACATCAATTGACGACTATGCCGCGACGTAAAGATGACGCTGCATTATCTAAACTTTTATTCCCACATGCGTTGCATTTATTTACACGTTGCTTGACTCAGCATCCAAGAAGACAAGAGGAGTGTAGCTGTTGAGTTTGTTGAGTCACTCAATTCACAAAAATGTGATAGCGATTCTTATCGCGCGGGAAAAAATCTAAATTGTGCCGAAGATGTCACAAAAGTTTTGGGAATGTGATCAAACTGACGCTTCGACTTGATACGTGATGTTTTAAATTGAGTCGGAAAAACTGTGAAATGACAAGACAAAGTTTTAATTTTAATTATTCCACTATGTGAATACTTAAACACATACCTACATTAACACTTTAAAGATGAGTTAAATTTATTAAAAATTATTACATCATTACACCATATGGCATATAGTAGGCTACTGTAACTTTGGCGACGTTTCATCTTCAGCTAGTTTTAAAATCTTTCTCAAATATTATAATACTGCTTGTTGATATTTAATAGTTGTCTGTCCGCCATTTTATCCAATTCCAAAATTAGATATCAACTTAACAATATTTTAAGCTGAAATAAACATTTCAATTCCACTCAAAATTTATAACTCCAAGTGTATGTAGGTAATTTAATTTTACATAAATATATTTGTATTTTAGGAATTACCGGCCGAAAATAACAGACTGATTTTACGCGCACAATAGAAAATTACACAGCGCTTGTGCAGGAATGATCAGCGAATATTTTAGACTAGGCGGTGACGTTCTAAGAAGAGCACATGCACATTGGCTAAAGACGGTAATTACATGGACGGCATTGTCCAACCATCGCGCAAACGGTTGGCGTTTCGACGTTTGTCGTCGGCTGCGCGTTGTTTCGACATTTCCGAGAAGGTCGCGCGTTCGCTGCATCGTGCCGCGAGCGTGCGTATAAAAACGAATTTAATATTATGTCGGCATCGTATAATATGCTTATTCGTATGAACACAGACGAGCATTTACATTGGACGGACATATCAACAATTCCACGGTTAAATAATGTTAATAATTCATTTTAATTTTAATTCATTTTTCACTCTCGTGTGCTTGTTCGAAACCTTGCTCGACGGAGGCATCGAATTGCTAAGGTAATGGCTAAAGTAATATGTAATATGCTCGCATGCCATTATCATTTTTAAAATGCGCGAGCATGTGTGTGATGTGCACGGTTGGTATGGTTTCTTGTTAATTACAACTTCCTCTCTCGGAAGCTCATTGCGGACGCATGTGAACGCGATGCTTTCGTTCCACTTCAAACGATTACTATAAGATATCAAAGTTTGAAGCCCAGAAAGGGGAACGTTTTTAGGAATCAGACAAGGCTACTCAAATAAAAAAGTATAATATCAAATGCTGTTATTACAAAGCTATCACTAATTTTAAACATCAAGTATATTATGTATTGATTATAAATAGCAAAGATACACATAAAATACAAATAAAATGTTTTTAACACTTTGATGGCAATTAGAGAATCATATTGGCATTGTAGCTTTAAAAATCATTACTTGTGTGGCCCTAGTGGGCTTCGAAATCCGCTCTTAATAAGAAAACTGAATTAAATCCAGTAAATAATTAATTAAAAACGACAGTTCTTGACGAGCGGATACAAAGTTGGCCCCGTTTTTTGTAGATTATAGTAGGTTATACCTATAAAATACCTATATAACTGAAAATATTTTATGATCACGTTCTCTAAGTTGTGAGAACTAATGTTAATTAATAAACGTAGTTCAAAATTTAACACAAATGGTTAGAAGCGTTGATATGCATTTTTGAATATAAGAACAATGAAAAATATCAGTTTTCATTTTATTAAGTTTTCTAAAGTGAGTTCCATATTGCATGTATCGTATGAAGCAAGTATATAAATAATACGTTAAAATAAAACATAAACATTACATGGGCAATAGAGAATTGACCCTTTAATAACACTAACTAACCCTTTCTCAGAGATTTTTAGATATTCAGCAAATTGGATGGCTGCGATTAAAAAACTTGCTGCACTTCCAAATAATTACAAGCGGTACTAATTACACAATTTGTTGCCGAAGATTTTGCGTCTATCAAAAATGTTCATTTTTCCAGCGCATACAGAATGTGCTTTGCAATCAGCACTAATAATCTACACATTATACTCGCACAATACACGTGGAAACAAATTATAATTGCACTGATTGTAATTTGCACATTTTACTTTCGTTAGAACCACAACGTCTTCATCTGTATATTGCGTTCGTTTGTAATACTTACGTACATAGTCAGGTACAATGGAAAACCTTGAATAAAATTATTATTACAATTATTTTGCTGTTTTGCGGTTTATTTACGATGTGTGTGGGTAAGCAAGAACAGAAAAACAAGGGCAATTGATTTTTGGCTGAACTAAAACGTTAAAATTATCATTAATGTCATAATTCACAATATCCAAGCGCGAGGAGTAATTTTTTGCGCCCGCAATTTGTAAATTTAATTATGGGAAGTCAGGTAGAAGCAAGATAATTACACGCGTGTGCGTTGCTAGTCGAACGCCCACTCTCACCTTTTCATTCATTACGCTTGTAATTTTCGAACAAACCGACCGCCAATGCAACGGCAAAATGCCTAAACAAATGATTTATATCTTAATTTTTATCTTTTTGCTTGCGCTAGTATAGGCATATTTTTAATAAGCATTTACTGGTAGTTTAATTAAGGATTACTCTTTTTCAAAAACACACAGCCATTCTGGCATTAAATAAGAATACAGCTAATATATTTTAATTCATTCATATTTTGGGTTAAACTCCGAAATTTATTATGCTTTGCGTCAATATGCTAGCAACTTCGAAAGGAATCTCTGGCGTAAAATGAGTCTCGCGGGACGTGAATTTAAACAAGGATGTGTTCTGATTCGTATAACTTTCATGCATTGATGCATGCAGCCACATTTTTATAATTCCTTCATAATTCCTTCCTGTTTCATTTATTTTTTACGTGTCTGGTTGTTTAAGATGGGCTTTGTAATTGCAATACAGCTATAGTTTGCCAATTTGTTGATATTTTTACAAACCAATTAAAATTGCATTGTAATTTGCTGTTAATTATATAAAGTTTACACCGCTCTTCACACAGTTGTATGCTAAATATTAATAATTGATTTAAAAATTTGTACAAGCAATCCGGTGTTATTGAATCTTTGGTATCTATACATTAAAACAAACAGAGGAGATAACTGTATATACCAAGTTCAGTAAAACTCATTATGTAATAAGGTTATAATTATATTGCAATGAAATTAGGTGCAACATTTCATCTTTTAGATTTGTTTTCTGGACAAAATTATAGGACGCTTTGTAAATATAATACAGGTACTCGTGCATAATACCATAAAAATTATATTTTTTTTCAGTATAGTATAGAGATACTGATACATTTTTTAACTAAACCAAATTAAACCAATTAGGCACATGCACAGTTTTAAAATTAAGATACGTCAAACCACAAAATTTGAATTGGTGTTTTTCCAAAGTTTCAGGTAGACAAACGATAAAAAATTATTGTTTATTGTATTTTGCAATAAATTGAAGTATGAATTGATATTATAACCAGCACACATTTCAGATTGAATGCTTGACTGAACTCGTTCGAGCATCCATAGCCTGGGAAAGCGTGTTGAAAAGTCGATCAGTCTTGTTCTGTCACCGACGCAATAGTAACATACGAAATCAAATATCAAACATGTTTTCGAGGCAAAATTCTAAGAATACCCAATGTTACAACAGTTTTTCAACTCACTACTAAAATGTATCTATGCTGGATCGTCGTAAAGACGCACACCACCGAACAGAGGCATACATAAATCAACAAAATAATAAATTTCAAGCGCGCTCGTTTCGATTAATTTTAATTATATTAAGCGATTATGTTTCGCTTCGTTGAAAAACAATTATGGTCCATGTCCCTGCCGCATCGCGACGTTTATGCATCACAAGTCGCGTCTCCCGCTGTTACTCAAATCTTGTTTTTTTTTGTCTTCGGTTCCGCTTGTTATTTCGTCGCAACAGTGTATATCCTGAATGTCCTTCGCGCGTTCGTTTGTCGCACATTGTGCACACGGCCGCCATAAACTTTCAATGTCTTTATTACCTTAACTTATGTCCTTTCCCATACCGGAGCGGCATGCCGCGCCGTGTTGAAGAGCATACGGGGGATTCAAATTACCTTTTGGATGTTTACGGTCGTTTCGATTTACAGCTCGTAAGAATATTTACATACAACATGTCTACACTAAAACATACCGGTAAAAATCTTTTGCTGTGACTTAGCAAGTTTGACACACTGTCAAAACTCTGGTGTAATAACTGTTTTAACATTAAGAGGAATAAAATAGCTTACTTCACACT